CATTTGGATGCTTGATCACCATTCAAATGTCTGTTGTTCACAATGAAACAGAGAAGTAATTTGTGCTATGTGCCTCTTGGGATAAATATCATAGATTGAGCGAAAACTAGAGATAGATAAATGTAATCTATGTGTACTCAATAACTAAAAGGTCTGAAGGCATAGAAAATACATCTTGACTTGTCCTACTGGGAGGTGGTTGCCTAGAAGCTTGCCCTTGTATGGATAAGAACGTGTCAAATTGATAGACTAAAGACTCCAACCTGGAGCCTATATTGTCCAAAGGAGAAAACTCATAAATGCCACCATTCCTAGGCGGTTGCCCTATGATAGGAATCTTAAAAGCTAGATGGTTGTGCATGGAATAAAGGTTATCCATCCTACGTACTTTCTATTTTCGAATCTAAGGGTACTAAAATTGTTTGATACGACTATCTACCAAACATTCATCAACAAGTGCACTAAAGGTTCCACCAACAACCACAACATCAAAATTAAAAGAAAAAGAAAAAGAAAAAGAACTAAAAGCAAATTCAAAAACCACACATAAAGAAAAATAAAGCTAAATATGATAACACCCTAAAAAAAATCCACACAATAAACAAACTAAAACTAACAATCAAACAAAAAAAAAAATTATTACTAAATCAAAAACTAAATCCTATGAATAAAAACAAAATATGCAAAACTAATACAAATATGCAAACTAAATGAACACAAAACATGCAAACATCACACAAATGATTAACAAGCACTAAAAAGAACTAAAGCTAAAAAGAACTAAGGCTAAAAAGATTAGAAAATATCACAATCGGGTCACGCTTAAACTTTGATGCACATGACACACTGCAACGTTTCGCTAACTACGATCTTTCTACAAAATAAAAACAAACACAAATTAAATTGTCCTAATGAAAATTACAGAACACAACAAAAAATTAAAGTATTTACAACCAAAAACACAAAAAGTCAAAAGCACGTTGCTCCCCGGTAACAGCGCCAAAATTTTGTCGAACCGGTCGTCACGACCACAAAATTAAACCTAAATACCGTAGTTAGCGGTAAGCAGGGTCGAATCCATAGAGAGCAAGACTAATGACCTAATGTATGTTTGAGTTAACGAAAGAGAAATTGGCAAAATGATTGATTGAAACTAAGGAAACTAATTAATTGTAGAAAATTAAAAATATCAAATAAATTGCTAACTAAAACACAATATTAAAAGCGTTGCCGCTACGGGTTCGGTTTGACTCAAGAACAACTCTCACAATCCATCTCCTCGCTCCCTACAAGGCTAGGCAAATCAATAAAAATATATCTCGGCAATCTAGGTATAATCTATTCTGTCTCCTCGTAGTCTTAGTTACATATCGATTGGTTAAAGATTATCATCGACTAACCGAAAAATGCTAAACCCTTAAACACCACTAGTTGGTGCAACGTTAACAAGTACAACCTATCAACTTGTATCATCCAATCAACTAATTACACAACAAATGCATTCCTAGTAAAAATGATATTAAACGCTAATACAACTTGATTGCAATCAGTACTAAAGCAGTTTAAAGTCATAATCAACATTCAATAATCTCAAACTGGCATTCAATTATGCGAAAAGTTATATATTAATAAATGTTCTCACTGGACATTATCAATTCAGCACGTCGAGCATCAGAATAATATTAAAGCATCGCAAACAAACTGAAACGAAAACAAATACAATCTGAATACAAGAAACTTAACCAAATGTCTAACATTCAGGCTCATCCAACTAGTCGAGAGCTGATGAGGAGAGCAATGGAGTCAATCTCGACCTCGCCCACACCGTAACAGACAACGAGAACTCAACCGCTCATGGTGGTGTCGACGGAGGCTGAAACGGTGGAAACGAAGCTGATCATGGTGGAGAGGAAGTAACCGATAGCGATATGATGTGAAGAAGGGGCGAAAACGACCAACGGACAGCCCGGAATACGAACAGTCGCACTCACCGGAAAACGTTAATTTTCCGACGGGTCTTCCGGAAAATGGTGGCGGAAATGGTATTCAAAGATACCGATGGAAAGCTCTGGTGATGGGGAGTTCAGATCAGGTCCTGGGGAGATGAAAGGTCTTCGAAAATGAGCAAGATTGTGGCTGGAATATGAAGAGGCGTAGCGGCTAGATGGCGGATTCCTACGGTTTTTGTGACGGCTGAAGCTTGCAAAGGATAGATCCGACCGTGGGGAAGATAGATCGACCATCAGGGAGCCCAAACGTCTCTGGAGTTTGCCGAAAAATGGTGAAATCACGGCTATAAGATGAAGAGTCGCGGCGGAAAACGCGGCGTGATTTGCGGTGGTGATGCGGGATGATCTGATCAGTGGACGGGGAAGATGAACTGTTGCTGGAGGCCGTTGGAAAAGGGAGATGAAGTGTTGTTGAAGCTCGCTGGAAAACTGGGTGAACAACCTCCCGGTAACGCGACCTTTCGTTTTCTTTTTATAGACAAATTGCAAAATATCACTTTGTCCCTACATGATTGAAAAGTGACAAAATCAACCCTCATAAATATGACAGTTTACCCCCTAAGCAACATAAACGAGATAAAATCACTCCTAATCCATAAACCACAACCTAATATCAACTCATATCCTTTCCGAAATCATTCCAAACATGTTAAATTCACAAGAAAAATATTAGGAAGCGATTTTTATGAATAAATTCATAAATTCTTTAATTATCTCAATATAATTTCATTTTAATCACACAAATGGTTTTTTATCACCAAATTAGAGTCACTTTCATGAACCTAACACGTCTTCAACGGGATGAGTTTCTTCATCTTTCTTCACTGTGAGATCTTCATCCACTGATTCATCATCATTTTTTAGCAGCAAAAGTTGCAACGCCCTGTTCTTGTATCGGTGTGCAGGACCAAATTTCTCGTTGCATTTAAAACAAAGTCCGCGCTCCCTTTCATACTATACCTCAGCCTTGGTTAATCGTCAGAACGAATTATCACGAATATTTGCCGGCGTTGACTCAACAAGTCGCTTCCCTTTCTCAAGTCGCATTGGAATGGTGATGGAACGATCTGGGTTTCTTGAATAGCTGGATCCTCAACTAATTTTTAATGTCTCTGGGCTTGGAGTCACCCTGGAATAAGGCTCAGTTTTAACACCCTATTGGGTTCGGTTAGCCTTCAGTTTATTCTTGTCTAAAACCCAATTGCGTTCCTCTATCCTGCGTGCATGGTCCATGAGCTCAAAAAGAGAATTGGGGCTTGAAATCCACAATGTCTTCCTTCAATCCATTAATGAAAGTCCCCATTAGCAGTTCTTCACCATAACCCATAACCCACACTTCACCAGCTCTTATACCAATTTGATAAGAACCCAGACAAACTCAAGCCAAAACTTAAGCAACACACAACATAATCTGAATGTACTCTTAATTCCTCCATATTGAATATCTGCAGTATTGAATAAAGCCCAGAAACATTGACAGTGAAACAGAATTAAGAATAAAGAACAGAATGTAAAGAAAAGCAATTTAAGATAACGCTAGCTGTTCGAGGCGTTAGGTACCTCCCTACTGAATCCTTTTTCTAAAATATTCTCTGCCCTACAAATCGTATAACCAACTATATATATGTATCCTACTAATCACACTTTTCTGCTTTGCTACTGCCACATGGCTATGTGCTAACTCACTCCCCAAAAAAGGCATACTTACTAATTATCCCCTTTTTCCCTTGTCACTCTATTAACTCTAGTCCAAATAAAATTGGAAATACTAATTGATTCTAGATGCCAAATCCCAACTGCTTGAATAAGATTTTGGTCTCTTAATATGAGAGAGAACCCTCCTACTAAAAGGAAATATTTTTTTTCATTGTCATACTTTACATGGGTTTTTAAACAAATAGTTTTCATAAAAAAAATTGTATTCTATATTTAATACCAAAGTTATTCAAACGGATAGGAAATGCTTTCAAATAAGGAGCAGAACCGCCAAAGAAAACATGAGAAACAGGGGAATTGCAGAGTAAAAAGCAGAGGAAAAAAAAAAGTTATAGACATTAAGCTATAAATACAAAATCTAAGTAATTGAGGTAACAAAAAATAATCACAATCAATCGGCAACCCCTCCTTTCTGGTTTAAATACGGACTTGTTATATGCATCCTATAATTTTGAACAAAACCAGGGCAAGAATCTAAACAGACATTTGAAAATGTTTTGAAGAATGACCTATTTTTTTTCGTTGTTAAATGGTTTTTCTGCTTTTATTTGTTGCCCAATTCTAGATAACCAATTATATGAAGATCAACCTTGGTATCTTCCTTCTATTTATAGAGTTTCCAAATTGATGATCAGTCACTTACCTAAATTGAAATGCATGGACTGGCGTTTACTTATTAGTGCAGAGATGAGGCCCAATTTCACACTCGAAGAAAATGAATTAACATGTAGAGAGCTTCATCTTTCAATAAGCCCCTACAGCTTAGCTTGGTGGTTTGCTAGTTATTTTTTTTGCTTTGCCACCCAGCTTCGACCCTTAGTGGTAGGATAGGGGTTCAAAAATGCTTTGGGCACTGACCGACTTTCTATCCTTTAAAAAATTTTAATAAGCTTTAATTCAGTTTTTTCACTCTCCTTCGATATAAAAATGGAATTCAAGCAAACTTCAAGATTGTCTGAATTCTGAAATTTGGCAGGCCATTCTACCAAATATGCAGATGAACTATACAGTAATAATGTGCATTAAAGTTTACTTAAATTTTTTATATATAACAAAGCAAATATACCAGCTCCTGTTGCCAAATATTTTCCCAAAACATATCGAACGATTACAACGACTTGATCTTACATGAATGGATACAAAAATATAATTAAAAGCTAAAAATCAAAGAAAAAGAGAAAAGAGAGAAATGAAACAGTTAATAAAAGGAAGCGTATTAGATATAAACAATTTTACATGATTCATCCAATTAAAATTCACAATTAAAAAATAATGCTAGAGTTTTTGTCAAAACAGAATACAAAGATGCAAATTTTTTATTATCCCGTCACTCTCACACTTGACGATCTCTTTTAACTCTAATAGCAGGCACATTTATTACTCTAGTGAAGACAAATTTCAGTAGAACAATGTTTTACATTTCAAGTCTTGACATTTTGAATAATAATGTTACAGCACTTGAAATACAAAACTTGGACAATAACACCGTTAATTTTTATTTTTTACTCACCTTTCTTGTAGAAGACACCTGTTCTTCGCTTGCGAAAAATGCTGGGGCCATAGGTGGAATAGGTCAATTCCACTAGGAGGGGAAATTGCGAAAAGGCAAACACAGACACAGGCAAAAAAGCCAATCCCATTACTAAACAAAATACCCCGCCTTTCCTTATCTCTTTATGCTTGTAATCAAAATTCACCATATAAACAGTGGCACCAAAGGCTACCATCATGGCTGTTAGGGACAGGAACAACATAAAAAGACCCAATATTAATCTTTTGGGCAGGGCAAATAGAAAATCAGTTTCTGCGTAGCGTGCAGTAAGGATGGACATGAACATGAAGACGGCTGCTATTGATGAGAACAAAGAGACTGCATCGGCCATGGCAAAGATAGTAAAGGCTGGGAATCCGTAAAAATTTGGAGTGCCATCAGTGGCAGTCCCACCAGGTACTGTAATTGCTGCAGCAAATACTACTGTAGCAATGAGTACTGTTACTATTGAGCAAGAGGTGGCTGCATCTTTCATCCATTTTTCACCTTTTTTAACAAGACCCTGATGTTCGTCAACAAATACCATTGCCGGAGTTTTTCCTTGAGAATTTTTATCTTCTTTGATGCTAGGCGGTACAATTTTCTCTACCTCCTGTACAAAATATATCATCAAACAAAAGAATAAATGAAAAGACTTCTAAATCAGTTTAAATCTAAATTCTTAGTACCTTAAACCACTGTAACTCACGCTGCATCTTTAGTGCTGCGCCAGGGATGCGATTAAGTTGATATAGAGGGGCCAGTTTTCCAGCTAAGTGCAAGATATTATTCCCAGAATTGTCTTGAGACATCAACAACAAATGTTTGTGGCCACTCATTTCGAATATGAGGTTGATTACCCATTTATGGCGGTTAATGACTGCTAAATGAAATGCATTATGTTGTTCTTGATCTGAATACAAGACTGCATCTGGAAATGATTTTATGATCTCTTCCACAACTTCGTGAACCCCTGATTCTGCTGCTAAAAGGAGTGATTTCTTCAAGATTGAGGAAGCTTTTTCATACCCTAGAGCTCTGGTAATTTTCATGCACAAGGCTTTGGCAAGTCTATTTTTTTGTTGAAGCGTCCATTCTTTCTCTCCAATTATACTTCGGTAAACTCGAACTGCGCAACAAATTAACATTGACTTATTGATTTAAATATTTTATCTCAAAGAAACATCTTAGAAATACAAACTAGGCCTGAAAAAACAGTTCGGGCCTGGCTTGGGTATGTTATATGGAATTTTAAAAAAATTATAAATAAATAGTCCTGGAAAAATTATAGTAAATCCCCAAAAAAATATCCATTGCCCTTTCATAAAGATTACAATAGGCCCTGAAAATTACATGTAGCCATCATACATAAAGTAAAACTTCCAAAATACCCTTAATTTTTCCACCAAACTTGGGCCAAAAGCCTGGGTAGGCCCGACCCAAGCTTGGATACTAAAAACCCGGGCTTTTTCTCGGGTTTAGGCTTGGACTTTTTAAAATGAACTCCCGGTCTTACCCGGACAAGCCCAACCAAAGTTATTCATTTAGGTCGCATGGGAGGGAAACTAATTTTTGACCCATGGCCATCCATATCAATAAAGTTTAGACATTTAATTGATTTCAAAGGACAAAGAACCATTTTTTACCAAATCAAGAGGCCATAAATGTCAAATATACTAGAGGGACTTTGCCTTCCTACAATCAATATCATTTGCACTTAATACGTAATTAATTATGTCATGACGAATGAAGTAGATCAACCAATTACCTGATATAATATAATGGATATACTTCGACCAGATGTTTCGGTTGTACCTAGACCAGATGTATTCGATGAACCGTATCATGTTTCGAATGCAACTTGGGATGCATGACATCATTTTTCGGTTGCTACTCCAAATGCATTGCATCATTTTTTGTTTGCAGCTTCGGATGTGTGACATCATGTAGCTTGGGATGAATTTGCATGCTATGTGGTGTACCATTACAAAAATACCTCCAAAGCTCAGAACAATCAGAAACTTGATTTTGAAAAAAAAATATCTACAAACCACTGCACAGAATTGAAGTTAATAAATTAATTAATAATCTTTATGGTGTAGATTATACTCACGCAAAAATGTAACCAGAATTATGTGAGATATATGTTAATTATACTCACACTGACTTATGTAGATGGCATTCTGGAAAAAATTTAGCTTTCTTCCAATGGAAAACGCAATCCGCTTTTTGGCTATTGTACTCAGAAGAGTCTCACCACGATCTAACTCCATTAGAGCTAAATTTGGATAATCTTCAACCTCCCTCATGGCTAAGTCTGAGACATAAGATGATAGACATATATATATAATTAATTGAAAGTGGAACTTATTAATCGGTAATTAATAGAAGCCAATTGAAGAATTAACTCACCGTAAAATCCAGCGATTATTAGCCAATGAACGAACAAAACACCGGTTTTATCCTTAACTGGGTAGGAATACAGCAAGTTTCTATCCGTGAATTTCAATAAATAGGTAATCATCTCCTTATAGCCATGTCGAGCAGCCTCAATTAAAGGTGTTTTGATATCCAATAAGTCTGGCCATTTCTCCCTTATCTTCTTGGCTGCTTGGACATTACCAACAATTGCAGCGACTGAAAGCACAGTTTTGCCGTCTTTATTTGTGAGTGCCACTTGATCATTTGACATCTTAGTCAATAGATAATCCACAATATGATTAGCGGTGACTGCTCCTACAGCTACATGAAGAGCTGTGTCAGAGTTTTCCGTGATCCTGGCTTCTAACACATGTTCATCCTCGTTACAGATTTCTTGTACATATCGTAAGTCGCCTCCGAGTATAGCTTTATACAGTGGTAGGTACTTTTTTAGATCGACTGCAATAAAGAAAACAAACAGAAAAAAAAAAAAAAAAATTATGTATTTGCTTAATTATGAAAATTCATTGCCATATTCTGGTACTTAGATACCAAGTTGAGATGAAGACAAGGCCATATGCTGAGTTGAAGAAGCAACTGGCCGTGATGGATTGGCCAACTCTATGATTACAGACTGTTCCATATCTGATTGAAATGATTCTGAAGAAGAGGTGGCCATAGGAATAGGCTGTGATGGAGGGGCGGCCATCTGTATGATGATCGATTTTCTGATTGAAATGATTTCTATTTCAATTGTGATGGGAAATTTTACCTAAGTGTTTTAGTCGTCCTTCCTAGCAATTTCTCAGAATGCTTGTTTACAGGAGATGACTAAAGAAAGTTTGGGATTATTTTCGGGACAAAATTCTGGTAAGAAGCCACAGGCTGATTTTAAAAGAAGAGGCCACGGTGTGTGTGGAAGAACAGACCTATAAATCATGACCAGTGATTTTAAAAAAGTTTATTCCATGTTCTCACAAACAGAACCTTGAATGACAAACAGAATCTTGAATGAAAGAGGGTATTGCAATACATTTCAATAATATTTTATATAAATTATACTTTAATTATTTATTTTAAAAGTGGTATTATATATATAATCTAATTAAATTTCATATAAAAACACACATAACATAACTTTTTATTGGTACATTATTTATATATATTTTATTAAGCATTTATTGAGTTGATTTTAGGGATACATTCGTATACAAACTCAATTATATTGTCGTTTAAGGTTTTCAAATTCAATTCAGACCTTCAAAGTTTGAAAAATGTATTACTGATACCCATTTGTCCTAAACCTAATATATTATTATTTGCCATAGATGAATTATGAATAAAACAATACATTTGGTCTTATAAAGTAGTGTTTCTCTCTCTTTTATCCATTATCCTTAAATAGTTTTATTTTTTTAATCAAATATATTATCTTGCTTTATTTTAATATTTTTGGCAAAATTTACATGGTGATTCCACCTCGAAAACCTATAATCCTGGCTCCACTGCCAATAGAAAAGATAATAATACAAGGTCATTGTTTTTGTTTTATTTTGTGTGTTATTATATATATATATATATATATAATTTTACCTGGGAAATATTTGGAATATATCTCTAAATTGAAAATAGAGATCAACATGTTGGTAGAGAATATATTTTAAAAATGAACAAAGTATAAGCACTTTTAAAATAAACCACCACCATCATATTTGATATTCCCTACTTTCAAATAATTTACTATCATATTCTCCACTGACAAAGACTTGAATTACATCAAGTGTACTACGTCATCCATTTCAATACTATCATACATCATCGAAATTAAATTAAATTAAATTAAATTCATTTATCAAAAATAAAAATAATAAAAATTTAAAGATAACTCATAACTTTTTTTAATATTTCTATAATCATTCTTGTTTGTTCTTATGTGTTAAAAATATTATACAATAATTTAATATCTATATATTCTATATAATATGATTCTAGTTGATATTGATTTTTACAATATTTATAATAAGAAAAACCCAATACATTAAGTAGGTTATCAGATAGAGTATTTCATTCAGTTAGAACTTCACTATATATTTTATTATAAATTTATAATTTAGATCTTTTGACTCTACTGACTATAAATCCTGGTTGTGGCTATATAATATGATTCTAGTTGATATTGATTTTTACGATAGCTATAATAAGAAAAACCCAATAATATTGTTATTAAGTAGATTAACTGATAGATTATCTTACCTAGTTAGAACTTTGATCCATTTTTCCTTAGCAAAAATACTAATCCCTTATATATATTGAAAATTCAATTTACAAGAGTGCACATCAACTTGTTATATAAATTTTAAAATCTCTTAGGTGAAACAAAGAGCAATAATGAATATAATCTAAGTAAACTAGAAAGTAATTAATTTACTGGGAATCTATATATATTGATCTAAATTATTAGAAAGAACATGAGAATGTATAGAACAAAAGGAAAGAGAAAAGGAGGAGACAAGTGATTTGTGTTTAATATAAATAAGGAAGGGAAGAGCAAATTGAATAAATTATATCCCTTATAGAAGGGAACGGGAGGATAATAAAATATTCCGTTATGGTTTTGACACTTAGTTTAACAGATTAAGTATAAATATGTTAATCAATTAAGTATAAAAATAATAATAAAAAGACGATCCAAAAGTACAGGAGTATAAAGAGCAGAATTACTGAAGAATGAAAAACAGGGGAATTGCAGAGTAAAAACCAGAGGAAAACAGGGGCAGAAAAAATAAGCATAGATATTAAGCAACAAGTAATAAATCTAATTATTTGAGAATACTAAAAAACATTCACGAAAAATGGGGAACTCCTTGTTTTGATGCAGTCTGATATAATAACCCCGTAATAGTTTAAATGAAGCATTGCCATAAACCCAGTAATAGGTAAACTACTCTATGCTTTATGGCTTAAAAATATGGAGGACTTGTTATATGAATCCTGTCATTATGAACAAACGCAGGACTAGACCTAAAAAACTTGACAAAATTTTCAATCACTGTCCCAAGTTTGGATTCCAACTTCTTGTTTAAATTTCAACACTAAATTGGTTATAGAAAAGTAACAAAACAAATTCCATCATCTTAAAAACAATGTAATGTTACCGTATAAGCAGTCACATTAATTTGAACTTAGCGTTGGAATCCAAATTTTATACGTATAGCATTGGTCCACAAATTCTGAATGCTTCTCAAGCTCTGGCTATAGGTTCTTGCACAAAATATGAAGAGAACTGATCACTGATTGTTCCTGGGATAACATTTTCAAATGGCTTGAAAAACAAATGTTAATTTAAACTAACCAAAAACAAGTTTATGAGCTCTCTCAAATTCCACTAGTCATGTGGGCACTCAGGGAATCCAATTGGGCTGTTGATGATTCTGAACCTTGTCCTCCTGATTTTAGTGACAAAACTCATGGTAGAGGATTAGCACATCATGATTCAAATGCGTTTAAAAAATACTAGCTTTTCCAAATGCACCAATTAAGAGTTTGCAGTGCAACAATATTAGTAGTCTCTATAGTACCAAAATGACCAGAATATAAAGATACATAAATTAAGATCTCTTTCAGAACTCTCTCACATGGAATCTCACTTAGTAGACAACATGTTTGTTTTGCTTGCGGAAAATGCCAGGGCCATATGTGGAAACGAATAAGTATACCAAGAGGGGATATTGAGCAGAAGCAAATAAGAATATGGGCAGACAAAGAGAAGCAGCCACCAGAACCAATCCATATGAATTTTCGCCCAAAAACACAAGATTAGCCGCGCAAGCGAAGGTTGTCATCGACCACGTTACAAATGCTAACGACAATGAAAGACACTGCATTAACTTCCTGGGAAGGGCTTCAAGAAGATCTTCCTCTGCATAGCGTGAAGTGAAAATGGACAAAAACATTATGATGGCAGCAAATGATGGGAACATAGTGATTGTATCTGAAACAGCAAACAAAGTGAATTCTTTCCGTCTGTGAAATTTCTGAAACAGCAAATACTACAGTTGCAATGAGTGCTGCTGCTACCGAGGATGAGGTTGCAGCAGATTTCATCCATTGCTCACCTTCTTTAACCCGTTCCTTATGTTCCTCTCTGAACACCATTGCGGGGGTTTTTCCTTCATAGTTTTTATCATGAATAAAGCGAGTGTGTACAATATTCTTTACCGCCTGTGTAAAAAATAAAAAATTTCATAACCGCAGATATAGGAAACAGTTCAGTTCTAAAACCGCATTTTTTTTCCTGAAATCAATACTTGGTTAAGATGTATAATATTTATATAAATTATAAATATATATAAAAATAATTATTGATCTTGTTGATATAAGAAATTGCATTCACAATAGGATATATGAAGAGTTTTATCAAAAAATTATATGAAAAATAAAGAATTAAAATTGATTATTATGACTAATTAATTTTGTTTTTTTTTTAGAATTAAAACAATAATATGTAATCAATTATAAATTTTTTTTTCATTTTTTTGAAAAATCCCACCCAGGCCAGGGGTGGACCCAGACCCACCCTCAATTTAAAAAAAAAAAAAAAAAATTAGAATTCAAAATAAAGATATCATTAAACATTTTCAGAACATAATGAAGCAAAAAATCGTGTTAAATTGAATATCTTCATGCATACTATTCTAACTTGCTTTCATTTTTAAATAATCAATATTCATATTATTTAGATCATTAGGTATACCATTTGTACTTGATTTTTGAGTCAATACGCAGAGGATGTGTGGATCTTTAATCTAGACGGTTGAGTTAGAATGTTAACGTCTGGATCTGGATTTGGAGTGATTGTAATCCATCTCTTTGTAAACCTTTGTGTATTTTACTTTTGTTAGAGTTGTGATTGAGCTCTAAATTTGTGTAAAATATTTTTGGTAGATTTGTGGTTATTGTAAACTCTTTTGATTATATTAGATTTAAGTAGATCGTTAAATTCTCGTGAATTTTTTTATCTCTTCACATTGAAGAGGTTTTTCCACGAAAAAATTTTCTTGTGTTTCCTTGTGAATTGGATGTTATTTTCTTATGTTTTCACTGGTTGATTGGCAAATAGTGGTGGAGCGATAGGGCCCCCCAGGCAAAAATCCTGGGTCCACCACTGACCCAGGCCATCCCTAGCTTAGCCCTTGAATTCACAATTGATATATATAGTGAAAACTAATGGATATATAAAGAAAGTTTCTGTAGTAATTTTCTTTGTCAATTCATCAACATTTAGACCATTGGATTGTAGTAGATTAACGGCTGAAAATTTGCGTCAAAAATTTAATTTGATATAATTTAACCCTATATATATTATGTAAACGACTCACCTACTTAACGTGGTTTTAAAAGAACATTAGTCTTGCATAACATTAGTGTTTGAGTGAAAGGGTTTACCTTGAACCATTGCAACTCACGTTGCATCTGCACCACGAATGAGATTTACCCTAGATTGCAGCGCTAACTTTCCAAATAAGGGGACGTTTAGTTCAGGGAATGTTGGATTACTGGGAATTTTAGATTACTGGAAAGTTAGATTACCTTGAAGATTATTGAGAATCTTTAAGAAAATGTGTTTGGTTAATTGGTGGGTATGATATATTAATATGTTTGGTTGGGAGGAATAAATTGGTGGGTATGTTATTTAAATTACTGAATTATCCTCTAATTAAATATTATTATTATATTATTTTTTAATATTGATTATTATTTGGATTATTATAACCCCCCCTGCATTTAAAACTTAGCAAAAACAACCTTATAATAAAAGTTTGGAAAATCAACAAAGCACCCCTACCA